GGGGGGGGGGGGGGGGGGGGAGGGGGAGGAAGAGGAAGGAAAGACGAAGTGCTGTTTCAACTGTGTATATTTCTGTGTCTATGAGGTTTCAAAGAAAACAACACAGAACAAATAATGGGTAATAATAATATTTGATATTGGTAATAAAAATTTTTACATACGATGTGTGACTATTTGAACAACAACAACAACAACCAAAAAGTAGAAAAAAAAGGGACAGTGAAAGATGTAGAAGAGAAGAAAAAGTGTTAGCAAAAGAAAATATTTAAAAAAAATCTTTTACATTTTTTGCCCTTCTTTTTTTTCTTTTTGCTTCATACATCAAAAAGCAGTTTGAACGTTTAGAAAAAAAAAAGAAACTGATGGTTGTTGATGATTAGTGAAAGAAGAAATAAGGAAAAATAATGCAAAACATTTTTGTGACAGTAAATTTGTAATTACCGTCCTCTTTTTTTCTAAGATTTTGATATTATTTTCTTTGTTTGTTACGTATTTATTAAAAATTTTTCCTTTTTTTCTTCTTTTTTTTTTTGGTTACTACTTTTTAGATTTCATTTTTTTTTTTCAAATGATAAATGCTAACACCAATAGCTAAAGCACCAAGATCTTTACCGTCTCCAACATTCCAACAGTTCAGATGGTTGTTGTTGTTGTTGTTGTTGTTGTTGTTGCTGCTGCTGCTGCTGCTGATGCTGTTCTTGCTGTTGCTACTAACGATAGTACTGCCGCTACTGCTGTTGGTTGATTTTGATACTTTGCTTTTGGCCTTGCACACTGATTAACGTATCATCGGACACTTAAGCAACACAAATGAGGGTAAGAAAAAAATGCCTCATTTAAAACTGTGTTAAACATAGCAATAATTTTTGCCAAACAATTTACGAGTTTATTTTTTCTTCTTTACTTTTTTTCTCTTCTGTTTTCTTTCTTTTTTTTTTTCTTTCCTTTGATTTACTACATGAAATTAACAATCACAGTAGCGGCAAAAGCCTTATGATCAACGCCGGGGCAATCAAACA